ATTAATATTAGGCTACCCTAGAATTACAAACTTTCATCTGGTCAGTATTTAGTTTTAAGAAATTTGAAGTCAAAATATTTCACAACATGTCAAGCTTCTCCAAGCGTAATTTTTAAAAAATAAATTGATAAAGACTCTCAATAATGATACGATTTTTATAGAGCATACAGAACGTTTATTGGTTTCTGACCCTGTGGTCTTAGGAACTTAAAAACGGCCAAAAATGTCAGACAAAACTTTGTAATTTTAAGGTAGCGATTAGTGTGGAGACATTAGAGGTAAAAACAACAAACCGGTAGCAACATGACAAAATTAATTCAGTAGGTTTTTTTTGGTTTTTGTTGGGGGGTTTTTGTGGGGGGTTTTGGGGTGGGGTGGGGGTGGGGGTTAGATATCAAGCAAAACCTTCTCAAATGGTTTGGACATCTGACACGTATGGCACCTCACCAGCGTGCGACTAAAGCATACTACAAAGAATATCAGGGTACAAGGCAAGAGGATGACCTGGATCGTGTGTGTCAAGGACATCCTAAAGACACACAACATCCCACCCAGCCGGGCCATCCACATCCAGCTTGGCAGAGACTGAGAGCTCTTTCTCCCCTCGACGCCCTAGAGATACAAGAGGACGGATAAAAGAAAAGAAAAGGTGTGATATAACTATGGAACAAAAGCAGCTACACAGACACTGTGTTCACCTTAGTGTTGTGTTTTAACATTACTGAAATTGTTATGTTGCTACATATATTTTTTTGTAGTACTGCATGTTATGTTCAAGGAATTACAGAATAACAACAACAAAAAAACATAGAGAAATTTAAAAATCTGCATGTGTTCACTTCATTCTGATGAGGTCTAAAATGGCCACTATGGGGGGCCTATCATGTATAAGCACTCGGAAACAAATTATCAATACATATTATATTTGTGAACGTTCCTCACTTTCGCCACCTAAAACTTCCGAACTAGTTAACTATCGAATTTGACAAAATTAATAGTGGTTCAGAATCATTTAAAGGGTACACAGTTTCATTGAGGAGCCTGAAGTCACTGAAATCACAAATTCAAAAAATGCGACTTTTTTAAAAAGTGACTCCTATACATCTTTATTATTATCTAGACCTAATTTTTTGTATCTCTCAAGATTTATCGCTCCATTCAAGTGGAGTGTAAATATAGTAGGCCAATGACTTTCAGTTGATGTTAATGCAGCGATCATTCCTTTCATTGAAAGGGGGTCCAGCCAGTCTGCTATATGTATAACAAGTGCCAAATGAAACTAAATTCGTCACAGAATTTGCGTAAAGTACTTTTTTTCTCTCTCTCAAAGGGCTACATTTAATATTATGATTTGAATTACGTCTTTCAAATGGTATGTTCATGCATTAAAGTTGAAATAAATAAATTGATATTGAATTACAGAGTTATCATTATAAGAAAGTATAGTCCAAATGTCCCGTCAGTTACCGTGGGAAAGCCCGCTTGACATTACTTTGACCAAATGGGAAATGTGGCCATGAGGTGAGGTGCTCACCTTTTATGCTAAATGTACCGGGTTCGAACTCGGCGCGTACTTACATGTCCAAATCAGAATTTCCTCTTCTGTTTCATCTGTTTCTTCGGGTTTTTTGTTTTACATAAAAACAGCCCCCCCCCCCTCCCCTCCCCCCAAAAAGGATGAAATAAAACCAAACAATCCTCTTTCGCTCACTCACTCACTCACTCACTCACTCAGTCGCTCTAAATTCTCGGATACGGAAGAAAAATCTAGGCCACAAGGCATCTTCCGTGCAAAATTAAGAACACTTTTTTATAAATCCTTACAAGAAAGAATACGTCCCTTTATCACATGTAAAATAGAAAGAACCCCCCCCCCCTTTTTTTTTTTACACCTTCCTTGAATGGCTCCAGTTTAGTCTTTGTTTTTTTTCCAAGAGCCTAATAGATGCTACATGGAGAAAGATAAGATATGAAGAGAGGAAAGCACTGCTTGAACGACCTATTTCCTTCTTGTTTACCGCGCAGGCAGTGTATGTGATAAGCTACTGTAAGCAGAAAAGAGATAAAATGCGTCTTATCACACGTGCATTCTATATTTAGCAAAAGTGGAACTTTCGTTGTTATAAATAAAGTCGAGACAAGTTGTAGCCCACTCTGTTTTATTCACAGACGTTCGTTTTAAAGGTGAAGAGAATTTCTTCTCCATCATGTTCTTTGTGCATAAGTTTTTAGTTGTTCTTTGTCTGGGTTCTTTCGTACTAGCTGTGCAAGTTTACAGGGACGGAGAAAACGCCGTGTGCGAAGACAAGCACCACAAAGAACAAAAAGCCAAAGGGAACAATAACCTATACACCGAGGCCTTGTCAAGACTACAGTGTCTGGGGGGGTCTCAAACAACATCCGGACTACCACAACAACCTGTTTACAAGTTTCCTTTCGGCTGTAGATAAATTTCACATTTCAGATTACCTCAGTGTTATAGATAGTTCCGAGACCGAGCAAAAGGAAAATGGACAACCGAATCAAGATATTGACCAAAAAACAAGGCGAAATATACGTAGTTCCGAGACACGTGAGTCAATGAAAGGTAGAGAGAACTCTGCGATGATAAAAGATGCGTTAGGTGATGATACAACTGACACAGGATTCCGCTCTAACAATGGGACAGAGGAGAAAGCCTGGGGAGACATTTTCAGAAACGCTTCATCGGCTTGTTTTCAGGATGTTGCACGAACCGTTCAAGCATTTATCGACGAAGAGTCATGGGCGGTCGAAAGTAAGTTGTATACTACTTGTAAAATCCTTCTCGTTATTTTTCTATCATCGCACAAATAAAAAATTTCTAAAGGTTTAGGTATTCTAAGGCAGGGAATTATCATTTTCATTGCTACGTATCAACAGACATTAGTGCACCAATGTGTACACCTCGGGGCTTAAAGCAAAAATTGTGATCTCTCCTCGGCTCCATTAAATCAAATGGCGCAAAGAGAGAGAAAGCAGAGGTTTGAAGTATTTGGGCCTTCTCTTTTTGACAGTGGTCTTCTACACAGTAATGTGACTGACTGATAGGTTAAAATTATATCCGAATATAGATGACCCAGTGAGATGACTTACAGTGAGATGACCCAGTCTTTTCCCCGCTTTGTCGTTATATTCCTATCCAGAACGATGTTATTTTTTTGCTCAGTGCTAGTTCGCTATACAGTGGTACTATATTTCTGTAAAAATCGAAAATGTTGAACAGCCCGTCGACACAATGTAGAGCGTTTAAGAGACGGGTCGTTTTGACTATATCTGTCAGGACCAACCCAGGCTGAGGAGGACACAACGTCCCAGAATATACACTGGGATACTCGAATTAAAAACAACGACAACAAAAGCAGTAACAACAACAACAACAACAACAACAACAACAACAACAACAACAACAACAACGATCACAACAACAACAGCGGGCCTACAAAAATAGAATAGACAAAACATCGGACCCAATCTATCCATTGTGCAACGAGGAACCCCAAGATTTGGAGCACTGGCTGCAGAGATGCCCCGCCCCGGAGGTCCGGCGGTGGCATCTCTTCGGGGAGGATTCAGGGAGGTTGGACTGCCTCACCCGCTACCCAAGGGAGGCGGTGGTCCTGTCGAAGAGCACACTCCTCGGGGCTCCATACATTTCGAACGGATAGTCTACCACAACAACAACAACAACAACAACAACAACAACAACAACAACAACAACAACAACAACAACAACAAGTTCTTCACACGAAATCGAACTCATGTCTTCTATGTAAGACAGAGAAGGGCCTAACTGCTACACCACGGACACTGACTTATGCCTTAAACTATGGTGTCAATATATCATTTCTATACAGAAAGTTGATGTCATTATATTTCTGTGTTGACCAATGATGTCCATACTTCTATACTGAAAGATGGTGCATTGAACAAATATGGTCATATATTTCTCTACTGAACTGAGCAAATAGTATGGTCATTTATTTCTGTACTGAAAAATATAACGTTTTACAGAGTATGGCAGGAAGCTTTGTGGGCAACCATAAACTTATACAACAGCAACGCCAACCTGATCAAAGTCATAGTGCAGAGAAAATAATTTTATGATTTCAAACACCTGGTATGAAAATCACCCAAGAAGAATATACACTTGGAAGAGTCCTGGCGATAGAAGTAGAAATCAAATAGACTTCATACTTATTCAGAAACGTTTTAGAAACATAATAAAATCATCTAAATCAATGCACCATGCACCAGTCATGTGTAAAATGCAGATAAGACTAAAGAAACTCAAAAAAGTCAAAGTATCAACCTAAATTTGACATAGGTCTTTTAAAGACAAATCAAAAACTGAAAGAACGTTTCTACATAGATGTAAGAAATAAATCTCAAGTCTTAGAAAACATTACTAAATCGGAAGAACTATGGAGGAAAATGAAAGACTCAATAATGGAAGCTGTGGAAGAAAATATCCCCCCGAAAGCTAAAAAAAGCTAATAAAAAATGGATGACACAGGACGTATTAAAACTAATGGAAGAGAGAAGAAAGGCAAAATCAAATGTGGAAAAGTACACTATCTTAAACAGGGAAATAAATAAAAAATGCAACGAAGCCAAAGAAACGTGGATAAATGATCAGTGTCAACAAATAGAGAAGAACCAAAAACAAGGACAGAAAATACATGCATTCCAAAATCAAAGAAGTAAGTGGGATAAAAAGATGCTCAAATACAGGATGAATAAGATCAAAGGGAGGGGATATTTTAATGGACAACGGAGATGTCTTAAACAGATGGTCAGAATACATAGAAGAACTTTTCATAGATAATAGAGGAGAAAAAGCGGCAATAAAGAATGAAATAAATGGACCACCAATACTGAAAGCAGAAATACAAGCTGCCATTAGGAAAATGAAACAAGGAAAAGCCACAGGGCCAGATAATATTCCAGTTGAAGTGATTGTCGCGCTTGAAGAACTAGGCACTGAAATAACCACAAAGCTCCTAAATACTATTTATGACAGCGGTGAGATCCCAGAAGATATGATGAAGTCAATTTTTATAGCTTTACCTAAAACACCAGGTGCCACTGGGTTTGATATGCATAGAACAATTAGCCTTATGAGTCATTTTCCAAAAATATTGCTGCGAGTAATAATGGGAAGATTGAGAAAAAGTGTAAGACCAGGGATATCTAAAACGCAATTCAGCTTTGTTCCTGACAAGGGCATCAGAAATTCTATATTCACCTTAACAATGCTAATGGAAAGATGTATTGAAGCACAGAAAGATCTGTATTTATGCTTCATAGATTATTCAAGGGCGTTTGATAAAGTTAGACATGATGAGCTATTTAAAATACTGGAAAAGCTAGACATAGATGGAAAAGATCTAAGAAGTATCAGAAATTTGTACGGGGACCAAAACGCTGCTGTACGAATTAATGGAGAATACAGTACATATAAGCAGATCAGGCGAGGAGTGAGGCAAGGATGTGTTATGTCACCAAACCTCTTAAACATGTACAGTCAAACAATCCTTAGAAACATAGACGAATGTCCAGGCCTCATAGTAAATGGAGAAAATATTAATAGCATCAGGTATGCAGATGACACAGTTTTAATAACAGGCTCCGAAAAGGACCTTCAATTGCTTCTAGATACTGTTGTAACAGAAAGTCAACGTAAAGGATTGTTGTTGAATGTAAAGAAAACAGAATGCAAGGTAATATCCAAAAAAGCAACAAACCCTAGTTGTAATCTCATTAGCAAAGGTGAAAAGATCAAACAAGTCCAACAGTTTAAATATCTAGGATATATGATAACATCTGACGCCAAATGCTCCACAGAAATAAAACTGAGAACTAGAATAGCTAAGGCTAGTTTCAATAAAATGAGCCCAATCCTGAAAAATAGAAACATCTCAATGAACACCAAAATGAAAGTCCTGAAATGCTATGTTTGGTCAACCCTTCTATATGGCTGTGAATGCTGGACAATCACTAAAGACAGTGAAAATAAAATAGAAGCAACAAAAATGTGGTTTCTTAGGAAACTGCTAAGAGTATCGTGGAAGGAAAAGAAATCAAATGAGGTAGTGCTTGATGAAGCCCACGTGGGACGCTCAATGTTAAAAACAATCAGGAAACGACAAAAGCAGTTTTGGGGACACCTGAATAGACATAAGGCTCTTGAACATCTAGCTCTCACTGGCAAAATTGAGGGCAAGCGAGGTAGGGGTAGGCCCAGAACAACATACTTAGGGAACCTAAACAAATGGGTAACAGGGAAAGATCAGTGAAACGTAGCTTTTATTTTAGAGCATCCGAGCAAAGGAATGAATGGAAAACCATGATCGCCGATGTCTGTCGCAGATCTGGCACTGGATGATGATGACTGAGCTAATATGACCATAATTATATTTTGGTTTTACACTAATTTGGTCTTATATTTCTGTAATGAACAACATATTTTAGAATTGCCATTTATCTCTGTTTGGGACCATAAACATTATTATTATTATATGTTTCTGTATATTACGATGATATTAATAATTTTCTGTATAGTAGGATAATAATAACATGGATACATGGATATATTTCTGTATAGCACCATGATATTGTTATATTATTTCTGTCATGAGTGACTCTATCTTTTCCCCAGTGCTAGACGCGTGGGGTAAGCCCGGACCCTCCCTCACAAGGGGGCGTTTCCAGTTTGTGGGTAACTACGACCAGTGTAGAGACGCCAGGGCCCCGCCCCTTCCGGGAGAAGAAAGGCAAGGCTTTTACGGCCGCTATTGTGTTCTCGGGCTGAATTATGGACAAGAGGTGAGTGGGGGGAGTGGAGGTGGTGTTGGAAAAGTGGTGGGGTGATGGGGCGGGGAGAGAGAGAGAGAGAGAGAGAGAGAGAGAGAGAGAGAGAGAGAGAGAGAGAGAGAGAGAGAGAATTAGAAGCCTAGAAATAATGGCCTTAGAATGTTTTCAGTGATTGCTGTTTGTGTGGTTGTTGTTGTTATTGTAGTTGTTGCTGTTGTTGCTGCTGCTACTGCTCTTGTTGTTGTTGTTATTCGTGTTGTTGTTGTGCTCGTTGTTTGTTGCCATTGCTGCTGTTGCTGTTGTTATTTGAGGGGATGTCATTGTTGGAATAAACATACACACAAACACACACACACACAAATATCTATCTATTTATCTATATATATCTATCTAGCTATATGTCTCCCTCTCTTTCTCTCTCTCTCTCTCTCTCTCTCTCTCTCTCTCTCTCTCTCTCTCTCTCTATCTATCTATCTATCTATCTATCTATCTATCTATCTATCTATCTATCTATCTATCTATCTAGATATATATCTCTCTCTGTCTTTCTTTCTGTCTCTCCATCTTTCTCCATATATATATATATATATATATATATATATATATATATATATATATATATATATATATATATATATATATATATATATATACATGCATATGTAAGCGGAATTATGTATTACTACATTTCAAATGAGAATTTTTAACCATTCAGTAACTGGCGAAGGACGTGGGAGCATCTGAAGCTTTTGACGATTCAGTTAGAACAAAATACATTTAGAACATTACTGGGGAGGGCAATGGAAAAACCATCAAAGTCACGTGATCAGGGCTAGAGAACAGTAAATTTTATTGTTAGAAAAGCATTGTACATTGATCGTTTTTCTATAGTTTCCTATATCAAACATGCTGAGTGGCATCGGTGGCCTAGTGGTTAGGCTACCGGACTCGTAATCGTGAGATGGTAGAATCGGGGGTTCGAACCTCAGCTCAATCCGATGTTGTGTCCTTGGGAAAAGCACTTTATACGAATTTCCCACTTGGCTCGGTACTTTCGGAGATGGACGTTTAACTCGGAGGTCCCGCCTCTTAAACAAGCTATCAGTGTGTTGATTGTGGCGTTAAACTTATACCATTTTTTCAAACATGGTTGGCCTCTAACTTAAGACTAAAAAGTTGTATAGGTTTAACGCCACTTGCAATACTGTGAGGTTATTTAAGATGAAGGAGATCCGGATTTATCGTCTGTCTCCGAATAGACCGAACAAAATTGGAAAATTATAGTAATGTGTCTTTCCAAAGGACTGACCTGAGCCTTGAACCCGCAAACCAACAATCTCACAATTCCAAGTCCGGTAGCCTAACTACTAGACCACCAACGCCACTAAGCTGGGACTGATCTCTTGGTCGGCTTGACAGTTTCTGAGAACAAACTGTGGAAGTAGCATACGTCATGTTAAGTTGTTTCTTTAATCATAATATCCCTGCGAACAAAAGTCTTCACAAACCCTCAAAACTTTCGAGACACAACTTTTTTTTCTCAACAAAACGTGCACTACGTTTGACTTACTTACTTGTCTTACTTGTCCACTGTGTTGGGGTCACTGCAGTCGAAACATGTCCATCTCTGCTCCCCTCCTCCCCCTCTTCAGGATCCATCCCAGAGTCTACGTTTGACTTTCAGAAACATCTCACGACCCCCCCCCCCCCCCCGCCCCCGACCCCTCCCCTAGGGATGAACCCACACACTCTGGCTGGGTGTTCATGAACTTCACTTTAAGGAATCCCTGTGCTAAATGCAATAATACCCTAATTTCGAGTTGGACACTTTGGTCACCTTTCCCTTGAATGTATAATAAGGATAATAATGGTAATAATAACAATAACTATAGTGATAATAATTTCACAAGAAGAAGAAGAAGAAGAAGAAGAAGAAGAAGAAGAAGAAGAAGAAGAAGAAGCCACACTTATGTTTTATTGCTCTCCCTCTTCCACAGTCTACATCTTCTACAGGTGGGATCCCAGCGTCCATAAAGAACTTGCAGATTGGCAGCTGTATACCAGACACGTGCAACGAGCAGGAACTCACACAGCTCGTCACACATGGTAACTATGCGGGTGGTTGGTGGGTGTTCTGGTGTGGTTTGCTCCTTTTTTCCTTTCAAACATCTGTCATCCTAATATTTTGGGGCGAATTTTACTAAAAACACGTTGATTAAAGGCACAAAATATATAAATTCTCCCTTTCTAAAGACTCCGAAGCTATGGATATCACCAAACATTGGCGTCCATTTCCTCGCTAGCTTTACCTCTGAAACTAAGCGACCCCACCTTGTTCAATCGATAGTATCTCGACGCTATTCAAGAAAGGGGGGGGGGGGGGTTCATAGAAAGATAGACAAATGGACACGCCATAATATCCGTAACCCAGGTATTTGTTGATTCGTGTGTGTTTGAGGGCTTGCAGCCCACTAGACAAATAAATAAGATAAGATAAGATAAGATAAGATAAGATAAGATAAGATAAGATAAGATAAGATAAGATACATCTTTATTGCTCAGATCCTGGCACATTGGTTTGGTGTTTCACGACTCAGTGGGGTCAGACGCTGGTCAGTTTTTGGGCAGATGGAGTAATTGGCACCATCCTAAAACGTGTTCATTTGTCTATCTTTCGATGAAAAAAATGGCCACCTATATTCTCACCCGTGATGAGAATAGCGTAGAACCCGTTATTCTCACCCTCACATTGGTGTGTGCATGAGGCAAGGACTCCCCGCTGACCTCTCACAGGCCAATAATATTACCTAGGCCCTTGGTGGCCTACCGCATGTGGTTGGGAAATGACTCTTGAGTGCTTGGCGCTTGTTTCCTCATGTAGGCCAAGTACTGATTACCGTCACCATAGCCGTAATTTAGGGAAAAAATCAAATAGCCTCCTTAAAATTACGCTATAATTGTAAGGCCCAGTAGGTATCAGATCCGCGTTCTGCCCTTGACATAATTTAGTTCTTGTATAACTGGACCATAGATCTTGATTATCTAGGCCTAGTGTAGTTCGTTTTATTTTGTTGCTGTTGTTTCTTTTTCACCTTTGTTTGCTGTTCATAATTTGAACTGGCCTTCATCCAGCCCTGTGTGCTGTTCTGTGTCTGTCTGTGCTATAGGCCTACTTTATGTAGTACACCTGAGGGGGGTGAGAATAGCGAGTCACAGGCTAATAGCCACTTCTTGTGGATATATCTTGCTTTCTCAAAGTGCTGGAAGCACTTATAGTACGGTCAACATTTTGTGGCGTAACTTATTCTCAAATATCTCTTTAACCGGTAAATCAAATCCCAACCCCCCCCCACCCCCATACTTTGCACTGCTGTTTATATCAATTTGTCTTAACGTAATCATATTTTTCCCCAATAATTGAGATTTAAAAAGAGTTCTTCAAATATTTACTTAGAATACTAAAAAATCTCCATCACGCTAAAAATTGGATTATATACAGCACTTCCCGCTGCTCACCATAGATTTACACTATTAAATCAGTATTATTTTCATTAAGCTGGGGCTAATTATCAATCATCCAGTTCGTGACATCATCAATGCACATACCCATGGTGGTTGGTAAGGTTTTAACATCTGGTGGTGGAACAGATTTGTACAAATGTGTATCATCTGCGTACATGTGATAATTTCAACTCAACTGTACTTTCTAATTACCGCTCCAAGTGGCTGTGTATATTGTATATTACGTATACAAGATTGGACCCAATAAGACGTTCATTCAGAAAGGGACTTGAGGTTTCACATGCTTGCACTTTTAAGAGAATCACTTTGGGTTAAAACCCAACGTTAGAATCAAATAAAACACGTAAGAGCAGAGACAGAGACACGCTAACTCACATGTAAACCAATTTCTTTGCCAAGACGAAAATGGCCTCCAATAAACTTAAAAGTGTCCGTGTCGCGTGACTTGTTACGTACTCTAGTTTAATTTATTTTATTTTTTTTGGACTCTCTGCTTCTCTCACACATTTTGCATACGCATATGGTCCACGTCACAGCTCATCAATGTGGCAAAACTTGAAACAAGAAATTCATTTTAAAGTGAACACATTTTTTGCTCTAAAGGTTCTCAAAACATGCGTTCAATATGCATAACATCGCGATTAGAAAACAATGACGGACTTGCTTTTAAATGCGATCATGCCCCATCTGTAAACCTTTTAAAATCGATTGAGACCACTCATTTGGACTTTTTATTAATATTTATTAATTAAAGAATTTTATAGAATACAGCCAACAGGTGTTTACAAAAATATTGGTCAGTTAAGACAAATTGATGGAAATCATTGTGCGAAAGCTGGAGAGTCAATGTTCGATAGTTTAGGAAATATTTGACGATAAGTTGCGCCACGTATGTTTGGCCGCACTATAATAATTATTTCTCAGAGAAAGAAAAAGTAGGCTTGTTGATCATTCTGCGCAGAACATAGAGGAAGAAATTTGTCATAAGTATAATTTATTCTCTCTTAGAAAGCTGTTACAAGAAACAGCTGAGTATTTCATCAACCTTCTACGGTATAGGAACAAAAGAGTCGTAGCCTTCCATTTAATGACACTTTATATCTGTGGAAAATCATACATTCTCACGAAACTGAAAACGAATTTCACTTTCTCTTCTATTGTTCAAATTTTATTCATCAAAGGAAATTGTAAATTCCTTCCAGCCTGACTCGGCCTAGTTACAAGTATTCCATGTTTGACCCATGTGAACCCTATCCGTACGCCCTGGGGTCATTTTGTACCACCGGGGTAGTATTTTTCACATTTTAGAATACTTCTAGAACGAAGATCTCTTTGAAACTTTCAGTATTTCTCAAAAAATCATTTTTGACAAACTTCTATGCAAAGAGCACGGATCGGATTAACGAGTAAATTTCCTCTTTGAAAATGGTGGCACAGAGTTACTCACGTCGTATGGGTACGATAGTAAAATACGACATACGGAAAGGGTTAAGAGATATAATATGATGTGATGTGGGCTAATAGCCTTGAACACTGAATTAACTCAGTTACTTACCGAATCAACAAACAATGAACAAACAAGCCACTTCCCCAGCTCTGGAGATGGTCAACATGACGTCACAGCTGTCCCCCGGTCCGATGGAGTGCCGTGATGACCACAGGGGAGGCTCAACCTTCACCACTCTGGCTGCGTGAGTTCACACGTTTTGCTGTTGCTGTTATTTTCGAGTTTCTTTTCTTCACTTTTTTCAAGTTTCGTCGCCTTGTGTGGAAAGAGACATAAAAGAAGATAAAAAAACGTCATTATAATAATAACCAAAATAGAAATGCTATTATATATCACTCTACCCCATACGAGTATCAGCCCTGGGTGCTTTACATCAATCACATGGTCACTGGGCGATTCACGTAAGATAAAATATTTCACAATAACAAAAAAAAAACACCTGGTTCAACCATACAAAAAAGAAATTCCACAGCTATACATTAATAATAAACACTTAAGGACAGCAGTAAAACCAAAACGTATCAGCACTTACTAAAACTATGGCTAGGAATTATAATGAGTTTTGAGCAATCGTTTAAACGTATTAAGGTTGGTTATTTCTCTGAGATCCAGGGACATGGAGTTCCAGATTTTAGGGCCAAAAAATGAGAAACCTTTCTCACACTGATATGATATCTCAAGATCGGAAATAAAACTTTCCTTATTGTGAACATACATTGTTATGGTTCTTGTATTTGTATTGTCTCAAACACATTTTCTATGTAGACACTGTTGGTGAAATAGGGGCTGTTTACAGGAGGGGAGAAAAGAGATGCGGATAGTAGATAGATAGAAAAAAGAGAACGAAAAAAAGAAACAATACAATCGACGAGGGGGGGGGGGGTGTTCGAGAGATGTTTCTGAAAGTCAAACGTAGAGCCCTTTTTGTTGGTAAAAAAAAGATGCGCTCGAAACGTTTGAGGGTCCTGGAGACGTTCATTCGTAGGGATATGATTAAAGGAACAACTTAGCATGAATAGAGAGAAAGAGAGAGAGAGAGAGAGAGAGAGAGAGAGAGAGAGAGAGAGAGAGAGAGAGAGAGAGAGAGAAAAGACGATCGAGGAGGAAGAGGAAAAAAAAAAAGCAGAGCAGATCCATGAAAAACAAGCAGAAAAATAAAACATATTTTGATTTGTCCATTCTCATTTTTTAGAACAGAAGGGATAGTTGATGCGCAAACACCAGATTCGACTTTAAACAATAATTTGTTTTAAAATTCTAAGAACCCCTCTGGAGCAAGTTAGAAAAAACAAATAAACAAACAAACAAACAAACAACTAAAACCACTCTCTTCCACTCTTACAAAATAAATCCGATTTTCTTAAAGTGTATTTTAAAAATCCCCAGAATATTCTTCTCAATTATTGGCGCACTGATGATCGCGGGCACCGTAGTTGACGTCGTTTTCGTCCAGTGGCCGGCCTGGGAGGCTGAGAGAGTCAAGTCACGTGGTCTCACCCACAAGGAAAGCACGCCGTCTGAAGGACAAGAACCCCAAAAATCGGGGCAGGACAAGCCAGAACAAGAGGACCGGGCAGGGGAGACATCTGCTCTCTCGGGGCGTTCCAAAAACTATGTACCACTAAGTCCATTTTGGGGTGAGTATGGAAAGGATGACGATTTACTTGTACTTGTACTTTTTCCTTCCTGTGATATCCTTAAGATGTCGAGGGGAGGTGCGGGTTTCGGTCCTGTGCTAAATGTTTGGCATCTGTGATGGCTAGATGTGCTATGTGGCACCAGGAACTTTTTAACCCCACCAGCCAGGTTTTTTCTTGATCTTCCTCTTTAGTTGAAGCAGGATTCACGGGTGTGGTAAGCTCTTGCGAAAGTTGTTTCTGGGGCATTCTGGTTAGATGTCCAAAACATTTATTGACTCTTTGACACTCAATGACATTTATTACTGGAGTATTGCGGTCTGTAGGCGTACGATCTCATTCCCTGTGCGGTCTCTTCGAGTGGCATTGGTGGTTTTGAAGAGACACCTAATTTCGCATGCATGGATTTTTCTTTCTTGTTCTTGGTGTAGGAACCATGTTTGGCACTGGTATGTTATGGGTGGTTTGAAGATGCTATTGATAAGCTGAGATTCCACTTCAGTTGGGATGTTCTTATGAATGATTAGGGGTGCTAACTGGTAGGTTGCTGCATTTGCCTTCTTAGTTCTTGTCTAAAGATGTTTCCCAAATATAATAATAATGAAAATGAAATGGTTAAATTATGTAGGTTTAACGCCTCTATCAACACTGTTAGGTTATTTAAGATACGGGACCTCCGAGTTTAATGGCCGTGTCCAAAAGGATTGAGTCGATTGGGAAATTCGTTTGTTTAAAGTGGAATTTCCAAGGACACGACGTCGGACCGAGCAGTTAACCGATGACGTAAGGCCTAATTAGTCAACTCACTGCTGAGTCAGCCATTTTCCTCTTGTCGAGCAGGGATGATTCTTTAAGGTATAGAGAGATAGACTGATAGATAGATAGATAGATAGATAGATAGATAGATAGATAGATAGATAGATAGATACATACATAGATAGATGACCTTTGACCCTATGTGTCCCAGAAATACGCTTGGTTTGACTGGCAAAGGCAACAAGATGACATTTCAACCTTTTTGTCCTAGAAATGCGCTAGGTTTGATTGGGCAAATTTCTTGACCTTTCACCTTTTGTGTCCCATGGCAAAGTCTCTTAGATGACCTTTCACCCTTTGTGTCCCAGAAATCATCCTGCAGGTCCTGCGCTCTTTCTCCGTCTACTCCAACACCCAGAAAATCCTGTCTACCAAAGAGGCCCCTGGCGTCATCGGCTGTATTCATGGACTCCGCTTCTTCAGTATGACGTGGATCATGCTGCTTCATCTTTACCTGGCGTTTGGGCGTTATCTAGGTGAAGCATAATATAGTCTAGAGTTGAATAAATATGTGTTACGAAACGGTTTAATCAGGCCCTCGTCAATTTTTAGGCTGATGGAGTTATTTGCATCTTCTTGAATCGTGTTCGTTAGTCAATCCTTCGATGGAAAAATACCCATCTATCTTGAATAGAGCTCGCGGTAATATTTTATTGAACAAAGTGGGATGGCTTGGTTTCGGAGGTGACTTTAGCGAAGAAATGGCCATCATCCTCTCTTTCTGATGTTATAATACACATTTATTTATTTTATTTTTTTAAAGGTTTTTCCACCCAGCTCTTTACTGTAGGCACTCTCGTGAAATATACTCTTGTTTTTAAAAGTATCATATCGGAGCAGACGAGAGTAATGGACTGTGAGAAGAAGAAGAAGAAGAAGAAGAAGAAGAAGAAGAAGAAGAAGAAGAAGAAGAAGAAGAAGAAGAAGAAGAAGAAGAAGAAGAAGAAGAAGAAGAAGAAGAAGAAGAAATAAATCTGTCTATATATCCATCCACCCGTGTATCTATCAATCTATCTATCTATCTATCTATCTATCTATCTATCTATCTATCTATCTATCTATCTATCTATCTATCTATCTATCTATCTATCTATCTATCTATCTATCTATCTATCTATCTATCTATCTATTATATATATATATATATATTATATATATATATGTTCATATATGTATATACCGTCTATCAGACGCTATCTATCTATCTATCTATCTATCTACTATCTATCTATCTATCTATCTATCTATAAACTTCAGTAAGGAAAATTTTCCGTTGCTGTCAGGTTTTGAACCCAGTACCTATTTAATGAGAGGCCAACTCGTAACCTCTAGACCACGAGAGCCCCGTGTAGCAGTGTACCGAATGTGAAAAGTTCTTTCTGTGTAACTGAAGGATATTGGTCAACTCTCTTTTTTTTCTTCTTTTTTTTTTTGCTGTTGTTGTTGTTGTTGCTGCTGCTGCAGTTGTTGTTGTTGTTGTTGTTGTTGTTGTTGTCGTTGTTGTTGTTGTGTTTTATTCCCTTAACCTATGGCCAAGATCGCTCTGAAATGACATTTCAAAAGTAAAGAGTCAGCATGCAGCACTGTAGATAATATATGTAGTAAACAGTGAGGATTGCTTTTTTTGTATGTCTTTTCTGCTTTTTCAAACATCAGAATAAGTGTTGAGTGGGGTTCTTTTCGCGAAATAACTGGTGTTCAAGATAGCAATTACAACAGTTAGAGCATAAATCCATCGGCATTTTATTCGTCTCTACATCATCCCTCCCTCCCCTCCTCCGAAAATGTTGTAGCGGTTAGGCAGTAGCATCGTCATTCCACGCAGAAGGCGTTGGTTCGATTCTCGTGTGGGGAGATATTATTTTATTAATATCATGTATCTCCGTCTGTCTGCTGGCATGTTGTATCCCTCTCACCCCATGATGGTCCATCTAATAGGCAGGGTTGAAGCAGCAGCCCGCCTCCTAAAAGATGTTATTTGCATTGTTATTAATATCAGAAAGGCAATTTGGTTTATAATGGCAAAAATGCATACATACATAAATACATTATTATAAATACATTATGCATAATAAATATATACAGATAATATACAAACATAGATACATAATATGACACCAATACAGAACAATTTCACAACCATGCCATTGCTGGTCGCCACTTACTGCGCAGCACCCTGTTTGGTGAGAAAGGGTTGTCGTACTCAAGGATACACCCCAGTGACCACCCATCTGATCCCCGTGTCACCGACACTTGCCTGACTTTACTCTTGTAAACTCACAACTCACTTAGCCACTTTTTATTTTCAAGTTTAGAGATAGACACAATGAGAATGCCACCTACATTAAGCGGCTCATATATGATCGATTATATTGTGCAATCCTGGCTGCACAATATAATTGACAGTTTTTAGGTTGCCTGGCGCCCACATATAGCTCAATATATTTGACAATTTAATAGCGCAAACCAGGCTCATTTTGGTCTTGCAACCCACTGAGACAGAATGGGGGATTTCGACCCAGCAATCGCTGTGGCAGCTGCTCTTGCTACAGAAAACGAAGACAATTTCCCCAAAAGGAAATAGGCATAAAAATGCCACAAATTTGGTTCACAAACCTGGTCCGTCCCTCCACCACATTTTTGTGAGTCAAGCATTTTCTTCAATTCCTTGTAATAATTTGTTCTATTGGCATTGATCTTTTTTGACATCTTCTCTTGTATAGTTTTTGGTACTTTTCCGGGAATTTTTCAATCAATACACGGTAAGCTGTCTTTTTCTTTTGTTTGTGTCTGTAATCGTCGCACTTCACTTTCCACAAGGCTGGTAAGCTTTTGTAAACCTCGATACACTCCAATTGAAATGCCCTGTCTTCTTTTTTATCAGGCACCACAGACACTATGACGGTACGAAATCTGAAAGAAAAATGAATATTGCACAATTTAATTGACCGTCGCCACTCTTGGTCAATTAAATTATGCAAGTAAATAAGTAGACTTGCGCTATAAAATATCAAACTGGTTTTGATTGACTCAATACAATTGCTCAAGTCGTCAATATCGCCAATATATAGTCAATTTAATTGTCAATTCCGAGCATTGACAATTAAATTGCACCATATAATTGATCGTTTATGGGCCGCTTTACGTGTTGTTTCTAGGGGTTTCCTCGTGTCGTACCTCAAGCTGAAACCGTGGATGGAGAAAGGAAGGAGAGTCAACTGGCGTCTGTTCTACTTTCATCGTATCTGGAGGTGAGTGTATAGGGTGTGTGTGTGTGTGTGTGTGTGTGTGTG